TTTCCCCTTACCCCCCGGGCCCCCCCCCCCCCCCCCCCCCCCCCCCCCCCCCCCCAAAAGGGGCCCTTTTTTTTTTTTGGCCAACCCCTTCCGGGGTTCAAAAGGGGGGCCCGAACCAAAAAAAAAAAAAAAATTTTTAAAATTGGGGCTTTTTTTCCCCCCCCCCCCCCCCCCGCCCCGTCCGAAATCTGCACCTGTTCAAGAGCAAAGCCCACAAGTCGTGCCCAAGGTCGGGCAGCGTGTGCGCTCCCAAGGGCTCCCCCGAGCGGTCGAGCAGCATCGCGTACGGGTTGCGGTGGGTGGCGACCATGGTGGCCAGGGCGTTCAGGTACACCGCTACGAGGAAGAAAAAGCCGGCCGCCAGGAGCCTAGAGGCGTACGTCCAGCACAGGAACCCCCGGTGAAAAGACGCCTGCCAACACACACACACACACACGCACACCACGTGGGCCAAGTCCGTCGTGATTGTTGCTGCTGCTGCTGCTGTTGTGTTGTTTCCTTTTTTATTAGGAAATAGGAAAAAGACTCCTGCCCGTTCGAGATACATCTAACCACAGCAGTCGGAGGGGATGGCTCCAAGTATTTTCAGTGAAAAGCCAACACAACAATCAGATGATTGAGATGGCTATCAAAGTGTCTTGTTAGCCTGTTACCCACATGGGAGATCACGATGTACGCTGCTCGGGAAGTCGTCGAAATACAGGTAGCCTCCGCTGACGCTATGGATTATTTGCTTGTCTAGACTCCATACACGTAGAGATGGGTTCGTTGTGTCAAACGAATACAAATACAGCTTGTACAAAAAAACAGGAGAGATTGTTGGTGCTGCTGCGGTAGTTGTCAACTGCTTTTCTCTCCGCAAGATGAGTGGCACCGCACGGCGGTGGCGGTGTTGGTGCGTATGATAGAGCAGTTACTGTACATAGTTGCTCTCCATTCTGCGTTTCCAGTAAAAACGAGATGGTTGAACCAGACGCACTAAACCCGATACAAGTACTATTATAGTAGTCATCCCCGGAACGCCCCTTATATTCCTCGTCTTGTGTATGTCTGCACCTTTGCCCGTGCTTCTTCCAACTACGGATTACCAGTATGGTATATTGCGTGTACTTCTAGTACTGCAGTATGCATCACAAAAACAGTACCATGGTATCAACCTGCTGCTTCGTTAAGGGATCGAGATTTTGACGGCACCACATACTTCTTCCAGAGGGAAACACCACGCTCCTGTACCGGTGCACGAAGGCACTTCGACCCGCCGCGTGAGGTTTGAGTATATCTTTGTGAAAAGTGGCAGGTGTCAGTGTGTGCGGCCGCGCGGCGGGATGATATATTAGAATTATCTAACAACAGAAGGAACCAAAGATGCGTTTACGAATTATTGAAGATCGAGCGTACGTATGATTGATTGCACCACACATGACACAGACTCGATCGAACGAAAAGGAACCAAAGATGCGTTTACAAGTTTTGAACAGGAAGCGTATGTATGATTTAACCAACAAATGACAGACTCTTATCGCACGATCTATGCGCACAGCCGTCCGTAGGGCACCATGAATAACCAACAGGAGGGGGCGGGGGGCATGAGACAGGCGCCGCTGATATATGATCCGTGAGGTAGGGCCAGGAGCGAGAGACTGGGAGTGCGTTCACGTGCGGAGCAAATAGAGCGAGCGTCTGACGTGTATCTATTTTTGGATGACACACAGGCAGCGAGACCGATCGATGCGACACACTTGCTGGCAGATTGCTGTCTTCCTTAAGGGGATAATGCTGCTCTCACCCTCTCGCTGATGTCTGCGGCGGCCGCCACCATTCTGTAGAGGTACCGCTTTCTGCCGCACCGCTTGCACCCAGAACTGCGCTGCTGCTGCTGCTGCCCCGACCTTGAAGGCGCGGAAGCAACCGTGTTGCCCCAGCCGCATCCGCAAGCAACATTATTATTACCGGAGTCGTTTCTCTCCCGCTTCTTTCCCAAAGGAGGGCCTACCACATCCTCTGTCGGCGCCACCCCGAGCAACAGCTTATGCTGCAGCCCCACCAACCACGTCTCCCACTCCACGCCGCGGTTGCTGTGTTTTTTGTGGACAGCGGAGAAGGGGGGGGAGGGAGCGGAGGTGGTGGAAATGAGAAATGATGTCCACACACAAAACATCGGAGAGATATCACGTTCAACCGCGAGCAAAACATTTTCGGTTGACGAAAATATGAAAGGAACGAGTTGATTTCATCGGCCGACCGACTTCGCACACCACCTCCATACACGCGCGTCCATCCGCAATGTGGGTGGGTGGGCATACGTTTATTCTCCCTCTTACATTAGGGCGGAGACCTTCTTCCCTCTCTGTCCGGCCGTTGCTGCCGGCATCGACGAAGCGCTGCGGTGTTCGGCCTGTGGGTTGTTGTTGTTGTTGCTGCTGGCGCCGCTCTTTTTCTCCACGGCGCGCTTGTGTTGCTGTTCCTTCGCGTTCGCGTTCGCTGTTGCTGCTTCGGCGGCCCTGCCCGGGAAGGAGAAGGGCGGGGCCTTCCCGCGGTGTCTCACTTCATCAACCATCGCCCTTGTTGATCTCGGCGGTGTTGTTCCAAACGAATGGCAAAGTAAACTTTGAAGTTTGTTGTATGCAGAGACAGAGACAGAGGAGATGTGCTTCGGGGGGCAACACGAAAGGGATTTTGACACGTGGGAGATATGTGGGGGGTTGTGCAGGTAAATCTAGTTCCGCCGCATCATGGACAATCGAACCACAGCACACTGCACATACCTTCTCTCCCGCCCCGTCCACGTACTGGTGAGTACGAGGTACGCTGGCACCACCAGCTACCTAACGTTTTTTTGCGATCGGCGGGCACCGAAAACCAGACGCGCTTGCGTGGCTATAGTTGCTCGATGGGAAACAACCAACTCACACATCCCACTTATTTTCAGCAACCCGTTTGAATTTTGTAGGTCACGCCGCATGCACTTTTGCTCTCCCGATACACCGCATTGCCGTAGTAGGCCGTACACGTTTGCTCTTGTAGAAATTCGCTGATAGATGCTGTACATGTCTGGCACGTACAGGGGTTCTCCCTCTTTCGATTGGCAATCTCTCGCTTCGGGCAATAAAAGCCCAGACTATGCTACTACGTACATAACATCTCATCGGTCTCGCTTACCCAGGTTCCAACCACGCAAGCCCTCGACAATGGCGACGATGTCTTCTGTGGTACGGATAGCCAAAGGGGCAATGGTTTGCGACGGCGCCGCGGCGAAGCCTCCGTACCACGGAAGCGGTGCAGCGGGCGCTACGCTCACGGGTGACATAACGATAGGGCCAGACACCGTGGTGTTCCCTGGCGCCCAGATACGGTGCTGCGAAGGCGCCGGGCCGGTTGTGATCGGCCGAGGCTGTGTGCTTGAGGAGGGCGCCTGCTTGGTGAACGTGGGCCCCGGCGAAATGAGGGTGGGAGACGGAAATCTGTTCGAGGTCGGCTGTGCGGTACGCGCGCAGAAGGTGGGGTTTAGCGCCGCTGTAGTCGTAGCGCTAGTGTAGAAGATGTGTTGCGCTCTACTTTCCGTGCTCGATACATGGTCTCGGTCAAAAGCTGTTCCGTTGTACGTAGGCCGCCGAGTTTACCTGAAAGTGTCCATACTTCGATGTATTTTTTGTTAGGTTTACATGTAAGTGTAAAACAGCCTGTTTACGGCGAGGTGAACAGCGCTGTTGTGACTGGTGTAGGTTATCTAGTGGTGGAGGTATGCCTAACGACATCACACACATACACATCACGCGGGCGGTTGACACATTGAAACACGCGATTTTTGGACGAGTACGATGCCGGCGGCTCACTCAACGATAATACCTACTTGAGCAAGGCTATATAGGACGTCGTGTGGTGGCGGCGGCCTAGCTCGATTTCTCACGCTGTTTTCTCATCGTTTAAAGCATCTGAGCATGGGCTTCTTGGTTCTTTTGAATGGACTGGTACACTGCTGTGGTTTTCTAAAGGAGGCATTTTTTTGCTGATTGCGGCAAACCGACGACTCTAGAACCACCCACCAGAAACACACCTCAATGCGCGTGATTCACCAGTTTCTGCAACGGTTCGTAATACTGTGCTTTGTTATGTTGAGGCGGCGATTGATCTCTCGGACTATTTCTGGAATGAAAAACGAAGAGTCTGTACATAGTTTTGGTGTTACCCGCCGAGACATACGCTGGAAGGGGCGCATGACTTACAAGACTGGAGCGCACTGCTGTGGTTGCTGTCCAAATCTACGAACGCTCATCTCTGGGCGTCGATGACGCGAAAATGCCAGGTGGGAGACTTCAACACCTTCCAGCCCAAGTGCGAAGTGGGTCAAGGGGTGACGGTGGCATCAGGGTGCTCCATCGGTGAGCCTTTTCCCGACGTGCTGTACCCTATTTTTCAAGTCCCAAACTATTAGTCTGCAGGGCCTATGTAGATGATGTCTTGTGCGGTCTCAACAGGTGTCGAACTCTGGTAATCCCTACATTTGATAACGGCGAGCGACAGAACCACCTGATGTCGGTGAAAAGCCTACAGGGCGGGAGACCTGCAGGGGAAGAAATTTGTTGTTCGGGTCCGGAATAGGAAGAGCGAAGGGGCAGTGGTTCGCTGCAACCTACCCACCGCCGAAGTATGGGCAGGCTGCACAATTTGGTCGGCCGTCCCGTCGTTATGCCTGCTCTCGTGTGGTCGCAGCACAGCGCTAGTGGGTAGGGGGGGAGGCGGGAAGGTCCACGTGCCACCGTGGTGAAACAGACAACCTTTCAAGTATGCAGCACCAAACGGCGACTGTTATGTGACGTGTGAAGTTGAGTGATTGGTCGCCCAATTCGACACCCCATTTCTCGGAAAGAGACAAAGACACGCGTCCTCTTGGAACCCGTTCCCCATGGGTATTCCGGTGATTCACCATCCCCCCTCTTCCGCGCGCGACTCCACCCCGGTCCTCCGGCCGTTTGTCTTTGCGGCGGCCTTCTTCCGACTCCTCAGCGCCGACGGTTGTGTTGGACGTTGCCTTGAAGCTGGAGGACAACTCCTCGGTGTTCCGATTAGGTGGTGCCGTGGATGAGTACAGCATTCAGCGACGACCCCGGAATACGGAAACGAACGTGAGATTTCAGCAGCAGCAGCAGCAGCCACAGCAGGAACATGTTTCGTTCTTGCCCTGTCTAACCTGCGTGTGTCGCGATGGTAGTCAACTTACAGTGAAACGGACAGGTTCGTCGACGTGTAGGTCGATGAATGGCCCCCCTCTCTTCAGCGCATGTTGCTCCTGCTCTATCGCCCCTTCGGGTGCTTTCGGTTCTGCTCACCCCCTTACCACGACCTCTCCCCCCCCGGCCTGCGTGTTTGCTTGTCCCCCATCTCGGAACATTTTCACGGTTGGTTCTCAGCGAGCCAGGGTGAGCAGCTATCGAACGGCGCTTGCGAGTCAAGGGAAGAAGTACTACCTTGGAAAGTTTAATGAGCTGTTGCCACCATCGTCAGCATCGCCGTCGCCGGCAGCAGCAACATAGGCAGGCGCTCTTGGGGAGCGTGTGCGAAAGGGCGCCTTGCCTCTCGTTGTACCCACATTAACGAGAGATGCAGTCTATTTGCAGTAGCGTTCAGTTGAAAACGACGTCGAGCGCCGTTCCCTGGAAGAACCTGTCTCGCGTGCATAGCCTATTGCCTTTTCTCAAGACGCCGGGACCTCGTGATTAACTACTTTTTTCAATGATCGTCCACCATGTACGTCGCCCCCTTTTCCTCGTGAATCGATCGTCCGTCGTGTACCACCAACGCGATTCTGGGCGCTGGCCATTGCGTACACTAGTCGGTGATTTTTTTGTGGACAAGGGCAACATGGGCGGTCCTTTCACCCCCATGTGTTGCTCGAAAACATTTTGTACACGTGAGGTAAATTTTACTGGAGGATATGTGCACGGTGGCGCGGGAGAACGGACTGCTGCAAAATCTACGTGGCACACATACCTATGCAGAACAACTCGCTTGCCGATAGACGCTTCATGCGCGAAGACCGTTTTCGTACTTGTTCTTGGCGATAAATCCAGCAAGGTCGCAAGTGCCAGTCAGGGGGGGGATGGTGACCGAGCGAACATCGTGCTCGGCGCTAACAGCCCGACCCGTGATTTTTTGTACCGTGAGGCGGCTGCCGTCACCACTCAATCATGGCGACACGCCTGCACCGTGTGCGCTTGGTTCTCGACAGCAGTCACCCCGCCTGGTCCACCTCTCGTTGCTCTTATCGAAACCGAAAAACGCACCTGGAGGGTAGCAAGACTCGCTCAAGACCGGGGACAATTTACGCTGTAAGCTACGAAACGTAGTGTATCAACCATCTACTTGAGCTCGCTTAGCAAAGGCGCGACTCGCTCCAAACTAATTGGTTCCAAGGAACAAGTCTGTGGTAACTGCTGTCATGGTTTCCGCAATTGCTTTCGTAACGAAAACACCATTATTTCGCGCACAAGCAAAATGTCTGTCCATAGGAGATGCGGCGTTGCCTTCTCTTGTTTCTTTTTTGTCAACTTTCTATGCATACCCCCGTTGTTTTTCCGAACGGCTGTGCCCCGCCTCGAATCATGATGATATCGAGCAGAATAATCAGCTGACACATGCGAAAAATTCCTCATTTTGCTCGTATCGTGAGACAGCCCATGGCATGCGCTTGAGGGCCAAATCGCGCGCGCTACTCACAACGGTAGGCGAGTTCCTCGTCAAACACCGTGCGTCAACAGCAAGAATAGCGGGCGATACTAACTGTCCGTGTGTTCCTGCGTGGAAATATCTGGCACAGGCCAACTCAAAACATCAACAGGGCCAAGAATCCCTTCGGGCAATTCGGTCGCGTGAGCGAGAAAACAGGCAGCGGAGCTTTTCACCCGTACGCGAACGACTACCAAAGAACCGGCGACAACAAACAACAAACAACGACAAAGTATCATCGAAGTATCTAATAACCCGGGTGGTATTTCGGCTCCTCGTTTGAGATCGAAAAAATGTTGCCCCAGGTTGTTGTGTTCTGTGCGGGGTGTACAAGTCCTAAAAAATATCAAAACATGTCGCACAAGAGCGAGTCCCTGGTGTCCGTGCCGGTGGTGGGGTTGGTTCCCTTGGCGTCAGGTCTAGCGCACAGAATCTTGGCCACGTCCTTTCGGATCAACGCGTCGGTGAAGTCGGCTCCGGAGATGTCCCCCACCTACATGCACGTTGTCGTCAGGAGGGGATAGGAAGGCGTGAGTTGACTCATGGTAGAGGGGATCGATGCCGTGTCGGGGTTAAAACGGTGCTGTCCACATTCATACACAGCATTGATCACAACGGGAAGCACTCTTGTACGGAAACACACCGTTCAAACACATAGTTCAAACATGGTTGCAGTTTCAGCGACACACCAACAAGCAGAGGCAAGCAACACACCCGCCGCCGACAAGCCGTCCGGGGCAGTGACGAAACCCGATGCTTGCCGCTGCGACCGCAAGATGTGGCAAGACATGCCGATTTTGTTGTTGCTGTTGTTGTTGTGTTCACGTTAAAAACCGTTCCGTTCTCTCTGCCCAGTACCTTCTTCTGTCCGTATTAATCTAGCACTTGACGCGGTCGATTCCCGCGGTCACAGGCTAACTTCCCCAAAGAAGGTTCTTGTACAAAAACAAGAGGAACCCGAAGGGTCCGCAAGCCAATAGAAATGAATGGCAGATAGTCTAGAACCCTCCGCTCGCCTCTATTTACAGGTCATGCGAGGTAAACATAGACTGGAAGACATTGGCGCGGAAGAAAAAAAAACACGCCATCTCGTCTCTACGTTGTGTTTTCTGGTCCTGGAGCCTTGCCCAGCGTCTCACGTTGTTCATGTTGTTGCCGAAGTAGCTCCCGGTCGCCACTGCATTGGTCATGATCGTTCTGCGGACAAACAATGACGGCGCGGACAGAAAGCGCAAGGATTAGACATTGCCGGAAGGGAGCAGAGAGCGACAGAGAAAATAGGGAGGGAGCACACGTGATGCCTGCCCTGGCCTTCCATATGGTCGGCATATGTCGAAGTTTGTCGCCACCATACAGCCCAGCGGAGGACGTGACTCATTATTTGATACGTCTACACGGTAGAGCTGGTACTGCGTGCACGACGCCCACCGGAGATAAATCCCTCCCCTCCCTCAAGCCTGGTCCGGTGAGAAACCGGCGTGCTCCGTCCCGGCAGGTGTAGGGATGCCAGGTCAATGGTCTAACGACTACGGCATTTACGACTATGAGTGCACCCCCCCCCCCCCCCCCCCGCCCCCAAGAACCCCCAAAACGGGAAAAAGGGCGCCTGGCTTGGTCCCGGCCGGCCTTTAAACACCCAAAAATCTGCTGCCCGCGTGAGGGATCCCGTCTACCCCTGCCCTTCGAAGTGAGGGCAGTTTTAAAACT